TCAAAGTTAGAGGCTGGACGCTTGAACGGCCACGTTTGCACCTTCAATACCACTCTACAACAACCGTCCCTTGGGTGGTAGGCATGCTTAGAGATAAATCTTGGGCATTTCAGTTGCAATGCCATGTTTTATGTGTTATTCTGGCAGGAGAAGAGATGAAGAATGAATGAGGCTTGTAGAAAGACTAGGGTTTCTTGATGGGTGGTTGACCCTCTCTGCTATGCCAGTGATTTCTTCTTCGAATATCAACAGCCCATATGTGGAACTGATGAGCATCATTAATGGTTGTTTTTTCCATTAATATTGTTCTCTTTTCCACTACATATGAAAATACTAATAATCATTATCTCCACAACGATGAATGCTGATGGTCCCTAACATTTGTTTGCTCTCTGCTCTCACTATATTCATACCTGTGTTTTCAGGATTCCGAGGCTATGATGATAATTGTTCACTTTCTCTTCATTCGGTTTGTGTTATTTCAACCTGTAACTTGGCAAGGCAGACATGCCAATGGGCGTCTTTGCAGCCATGGCAGTGTGGGAATATCACTTTCCCAGTACTCAAATCTGAGCCTCCACGGTGTCCCAGAATCCTTATATATTGTTGGACAATTAACTCCGACCTCTTTGATTATAATTTCGGTCTGTTGCTTGTTTCTTTAAGATGTATGCATCGTTAGACTTCTTTAAATAGAGAGGTTGTTTCGGTGAGACCCTTGATGCATTGCTACATCCACTTTCTAAAACTTTATTGAAAGTAAGAAGCAACTGAACTTTAATGTGTCCTTTTTATTTAGCACATTATTTATCATAAGGTATAACGTTCTAAAATTGACTCTTTCAGCTTTCTTATGTCTAAAAACATTTTATGTATTTATGTATCCATTCATCCATCCATCCACCCATCCATCCGTACATATATACATACATACATATACATGCATGCATGTAATAAATTAGTTATTCCAAATATAGATTCATTTCTTTCCATCCCATTTTATCATGGTTGTCAAGTCGTCGCCTAGGCCACGACTAGTCGGCGACTAGTCGTCCGGGCGATTTTGCCATGGCGATTTGCTCTTCGACTAGCGCCTAGGGCCGCTTAGGCTATTAAGCGTGCAAAGTGACGCTTAGCCGCGATTAGGCGACGCCTAATCGGTGAAAGAAATTGGCCAAATTTGACCTAATCCAATCGACCCGACCCGACCCAAATTTCATTAATTTTTAAAATTTTTTCCTTCGACGCAATCGATCCACAATCGATCGTCTGGAGGGTCGCGACTGCTCGTCTTCCAGTAGCAGTGACTTCCAGGCTTCCAGCGACTCTCCTCCATCAACAATTCTCCTCCATCAGCGACTCTCCTCCATGGGTAAGATTTCTTAATGTTTACTTTGTTATCATTAAAGTATACTCTTTATTTGATTTAATTTTCATTGATTTGGTTCATTAAACTATAAAGTATAATATACTTTAAAATTTTCAGTTTTTTCTGTTTTCTTAATATTTCAGTTTTTTTTTCTGATTTCAGTTAATACTTTGGTTTTTTTCTTATTCTAGTATTTTAGTATTTCAGTTTTTTTTCAGTTTGATATTTCAATTTTTTTCTGAATTCAGTTAATATTTTGGTTTTGTATTTCTTATTTTAATATTTTAAGGGTTTTAGGCTCTTGTTTTTGTTTACTTGCTGGAATGTCATATTCACCAACTTGATTTAATAGTTATTTCAGAACAAATGGGAGATAGTAATATCCGCGACTACGAAGACGATCCATAGATATATATAATGTTAAAATTTTCAATACTAATTGTGATTTGTCGACTAGTCTACGACTAGTCGCCTAGTCCACTAGTCTCCCCGTCACCGACTCGACTCGACTTGTCGACTTAACAACCATGCATTTTATCTATCTCTTTCCTTCCCCAACCAAACAGACCCTTATGAATAAGGAATTAAGAGCGCAAGGTTGGGTTTTGTGAAAAAAAACGTGCTGCTATAAGTTTAAATCTGGTCTGAGAGTTACTTAATGAGGCTGCAGAGACCCATTGTGGATTTCTAAGGGTTGTTGCCCTTTTTTGTTAGCCGATGATATCTCAATGATTTAACAACCCTTCATACATACTGCAACTACTCGTTTGATCTTCCTCCTCGTCTTTATTGCAATTGGCTGCAGATGCCACAGGTGCCATAGTCACTATTTCACATTTTGGAACAAACCACTTGCCCTCACGCACGGATGCAAATCTAGTAATGGATAGAATGTCATGCTGAAAATGATATTCAATGACGGAAAACGAGTTGCTATAAAAATTGGGTTGGGTTTAATGCAGGTTCCTTTAGTTTTTCAGGATTAAAAATGAAAGAGGCTGCAGTTATCATGAGGAGTTTGTAAGGGTGGTTGCTTTTCTGTGTTTGCCAATGATTTGCCCAAAAATAAACCATCCTTTATGTATCTATGATGCATTAGGTTTTTTAACTTGCGGCTTGATGGAATTTGATCAGTGTATGAAAATCACATGCTCAGTACTCAAATCTGAGCCTCCATAGTGTGAACTCTGACCTCTTCGATTATAATTTTCAGTCTGTTTTTGTTTCTTCAAGAAGCATGCAGCCTTAGGCCTCTTTAAATAGAGGTTGTCTCGGTGAGACCTTTGCTGCATTGCTACATTTGCTTTCTAAAACTTCATTGAAATTAAGAAGCAACTGAAATTTAATGTGTCCTTTTTGTTTAGTACATTATTTATCTTAAGGCAAAACATTATAGAAATAAATCTTTCAGCTCACATATATATAAACGTTTTATGTATGTATGTATGTATATATCCTTCCACACAAATATACGGATACATGTATTCATGCATGCATGTAATATGACAGTAAGTTAGTTATACCAAATGTAGAATTGTTTCTCCCCATTCCATTTTATGCATCCCTTTCCTTCCCCCCAAGCAAACAGTCCCTTACGAATAAAGAATCAGTAGCGCAGGTCGGGATTTGTGAAAAAATGGGTTGCTATGAATTTAAATCTCTAGCTGCGTCAGTATTTTATGGTCTGTGAGTTACTGAATGAGGCTGCAGAGATCCATTGGAGATTTCTAAGGGTGGTTGCCCTCTCTCTTGGCCAATGATTTCTCAAAGAATAAACAACCCTTCATACATACAACATATACTTCCTCGTTTCACCTCCTCCTACTCGTCTTTATTGTACCAGGCTGCGGCTGTTACAGTCACCGTAATCACAGTTTCATAGATGGCATCTCGATGTCTATATGTGCGATTCAACAATGGTGTTTGATTATTTGTGAATCCAGAGCTTATGGTGGAGAAATTGATTTGTTAGTTGCGTGGTGGCCCGGGATTCGGAGATTTATCTGGCGGGACCCGGATTGCAGCCACATGGGTCGGATATTCAGCGACGCATGTTTTATCTACTTGTTTGAGTTTCATATTTATGACCTAATTGGCTCTGTATGAACTTGTAAGTCATGGTTTTCTCTCACTCCCACAAATTGTATGAGGCCACATGGGGGATTTAGGGGTCTACGTGGCAGTTGCCCCACTCTGCTAGCCAATGACTTTACATTTTGCTTTATAATCAACTTCCAATTTCACAACAGCCAAATATCATTTTGAATGTGTAGAAAATACATTAGGAGTAATATTTTGATAAATCTTTGACAAATATATTCAATCAAACTATACTACTAGCATATAGTTTGGGTGAGACTCTGGCGTTGTTCGTGTGTCAAAGTTTGAGGCTGGACACTTGAACGGCTATACCGCTCCACAAAAACCGCCCCTTTAAGAAAGTTGGTTGCTTTTATTCAAAGGTATAATTTCTATCTTTAATCGATTGTTAAAGTATGAGTTCCTTTGGTGGAAGGCATGCTTGGAGATAAAAATTGTGTAATTCACTTGCGCTGGCATTGTCTTTGTGGAATTCTCTTCTGGTAGGTGAAGAGATGAAGAATGAATGAGGCTTGTAGAAAGATTGGGGTTTCTTGATGGGTGGTTTACCCTCTCTACTATGCCAGTGATTTCTTCTCCAAATGTCAACAGCCCATATGTGGATGTGTGGAACTGTTGAGGATCTTTAATGGTTTTTTATTCCATTATTATTGTTCTCTCTTTTCCACTCCATGTGAAAGTATTCGATAATAATAATAATAATAACAATACTCATCATCATCTTCACAAAGTGAATGCTGATGTTCCTCAACATCTGTTTGCTCTCACATGTTTTATCTTCATATTTGAGATTCATATTTATGACCTAATTGACTCTGTATCAACTTGTAAGTTGTGGTTTTTTCTCACTTCCACAATTTGTATGAGGCTGCAGGGGGGATTTAGGAGTTTCGGATGTCAGTTGTCCCACTCTGCTTGCTAATGTCTTCACAATTTGCTTTATAATTAATAATCAATTTCACAACAGGCAAATATCATTTTGAATTTGTGGAAAATACATAATAATAATTTGATAAATCTTTACTACATATATTCAATTAAACTTTACTAGCATATAGTTTGTATGATACTCCGGTGTTTTTCGTGTGTCAAAGTTAGAGGCTGGACGCTTGAATGGCCACGTTTGCTCCTTCAATACCACCCTACAACAACCGTCCCTTGGGTGGTCGGCATGCTTAGAGATTTTAGGTAACTCAGTTGCAATGCCACGTTCTATGTGGAATTCTGGCAGGAGAAGAGATGAAGAACGAATGAGGCTTGTAGAAAGACTAGGGTTTCTTGATGGGTGGTTGACCCTCTCTGCTATGCCAGTGATTTCTTCTCCAAATATCAACAGCCCATATGTGGAACTGATGAGGATCTTTAATGGTTGTTTTTTCCATTAATATTGTTCTCCTTTCCACCACATATGAAAATACTCAGTAATAATAATAATAATAATAATAATCATTATCTTCACAACGATGAATGCTGATGGTCTCTAACATTTGTTTGCTCTCCGCTCTCACTATATTCATACCTGTGTTTTCAGGATTCCGAGGCTATGATGATAATTGTTCACTTTCTCTTCATTGGGCTTGTGTTATTTCAACCTGTAACTTGGCAAGGCAGACATGCCAATGGGCGTCATTGCAGCCATGGCAGTGTGGGAATATCACTTTCCCAGTACTCAAATCTGAGCCTCCACGGTGTCCCAGAATCCTTATATACTGTTGGACATTCAACTCCGACCTCTTTGATTATAATTTTCGGTCTGTTGTCTTGTTTCTTTAAGATGTATGCAACCTTAGACTTCTTTAAATAGAGAGGTTGTTACGGTGAGACCCTTTATGCATTGCTACATCTGCTTTCTAAAACTTCATTGAAAGTAAGAAGCAACTGAATTTTAATGTGTCCTTTTTATTTAGCACATTATTTATCAGAAGGTATAACGTTCTAAAATTGACTCTTTCAGCTTACTTATGTCTAAAAACATTTTATGTATTTATGTATCCATTCATCCATCCTTCCACCCATCCATCCGTACATACATACATACATACATATACATGCATGCATGTAATAAATTAGTTATACCAAATATAGATTCAATTTTTTCCATACCATTTTATCTATCTCTTTCCTTCCCCAACCAAACAGACCCTTATGACTAAGGAATTAAAAGCGCAAGGTTGGGTTTTGTGAATAAAACGGGGTGCTATAAATATAAATCTGGTCTATTGGGGATTTCTAAGGGTTGTTGCCCTTCTTTGTTTGCCAATGATTTCTCAATGATTAAACAACCCTTCATACATACTGCAACTACTCATTTGATCTTCCTCGTCTTTATTGCACTTGGCTGCGGATGCCACAGTTGCCATAGTCACTGTTTCATCAATGGCATCTCAATGTGTGAATATCTGATTCAACACTAGTGTTTGGTTATTTGTGTGTCTGATGAATCTGGCAGAGAACGTGGTTTGTTAATTGCGTGGCCCAGGATTTGCGTGGTTTGTTAATTGCGTGATTTGTACTTGGCAGGGCATACATCAGAGTAAATGTTGCAGCCAAGGCAGTTTAGAACGATCACCTTTGCCTGGTACTTAAAGCTGAGCCTCAATATTGTTGCGAATTCCTTTTACAATGTTTGGAATCAACTCTCACCTCTTTGCTTGTTATTTTTGTTGGGTTTTATGGTTGGGTGTTGTGGTGTGAATATAATTCTCATGACTGATGAATGACGACAATGATGATCTACAATTTTTTTTATCTATTTCAGAACTCTTATTGTTTTGGTACACCATGGACCTAAGTTCTTGAGGCTATGAAGATAAAACTTCTCTTCCCCTCTGACCCATATATCTGTCATGGTTTGTTCTGACCCGTAACGTGGCAGGGCATACATTCCAGTGAATGTAGTTGCAGCCATGGCAGTGTTAGAACAACCACCTTTGGCTAGTACACAATTCTGAGCCTCAATACTGTTGCAAACACCTTTTATAACAACTCTCACCTCTTCGCTTGCTATTTTTGTTTCGTTGTCATGTTTTTTTCCATTGGATTGCAAACTCCTTTTTATCAGCTATTGCATCGCTTCCCTTCCTCAATCCGGACGCACTGCCATGTCTATGTGGGGTTCTGGTTGGAGAAGATAAGAGTGAACGAGGCTCGCAGAGAGATTGGGGTTTCCTGATGGGTGGTTTGCCATCTCTACTATGCCAATGATTCATCTCCAATTATCAACTGCCCGCCCATATGTGGAACAGTGGAACTGATGAGGATCTTGAATGGTTGTTTATTCCTTTGATGTTCTCTTTCCCACTACATATGATAATACTCTAATAATAATAATAATAATAATGATGATGATGATGATAATAAAAATAATAATGATAATAATAATAATAATAATAATAATAATATTAATAACATCAACAACAACAACAATAATAATTCATACCTATGCTTTCAGGATTCCAAGGCTATGATGATAATTGTGAAAAAATTACTGCGGGGTACCCTATATTTTGTGATAAGAACTGCCAGGTCCCATCATTTTTTAAAATGTACTCCGGGGTACCTTAAAATATCAAAAAAGTTACTCCGGGGTGACATTCCGTCACCTTCTCCATCAATTTCCAGTTTCCGTTAACTTTTCCTCCTTCCCCATTTTCGATCTTCTTCTTCTTCTCCTCTCCTCCTCCTCCTCCACCTTTGAATATTTTCCAGCCCCCATCCTTCCATTTTTTCTTCTTCTCTTTTTCCTTTGACTCTTTTTTCTTCTTACCTATTATTATTATTATATGATGATGATTATTATATTTATTATTATTTGTTACTAATTATTATTATAATTAAAAATTTAATTAGTAGTTTTTCCATTCTTATTCTTTTTTACTTCATATTTATTATTATTTTCTTCTTATTCTATTATTATAATATTATTATTATTAATTACTCCGTATTATTTTTATTAATAATAATAATTATTATTATTAAAAATCAATTATTACTTTTACTACTCTTTTTTAAGAAAAAGAATAGTAATAATTACTATTTTACTTCTTACTATTTTATTTTCTTCTATTTTTTTACTTTGTATGCCCCCATTGACCTTTTCCAATTTCCAATTTTCACTTTCGTAAAAGGTCAAAATATTTTTAAGCTTTAATTAAAAATTAATTTGAGTATGACATATTTATGTATAGTTTATAATAATTAATACAAAGTAATAATAATAAGTACTATTATTTGTATAAAAAGTATAGTAGTAAAATTACTAAATTAATTCTTTTAATAAATAATACTATAAATAATTATAAGTTTTTTTAATAAGAAGTGCTATTTTTCTAAATAAAAATTAATGTTATTTTTCTTAAAAAAGAGTAGTAAAACTAATAATTAGTTTTAATAATATTATTAATAATTATAAATAAAAATAATATGGAGTAATTAATAATAATAATAGAATAAGGAGAAAATAATAATAAATATGAAGTTATAATAATAAGTGCTACTCCACTATTTCCTAATAATTAATATTAAATAATAATAATAGTAATAATAATAATAATAATAATAATAATAATAATAATAATAATAGAATAAGAAGAAAAAACAATTCAAAACAAAAAATATGGAAGAAGAAAAAAGGGGAGGGCGGAGGACTGGAAGAAATCAAAGGCGGGGGAGGAGGAGGAGAAGAAGAAGAAGAAAAAGAGGAACAAGAAGAAGAAAAAGAGGAAGAAGAATAAGAACAAAGAAGAAGATCGAAAATGGGGATGAAGGAGGAGAAGTTAACGGAAATTGGAAATTGACGGAGAAAGTGACGGAATGTCACCCCGGAGTAGCTTTTTTGATATTTTAAGGTACCCCAGAGTACATTTTAAAGAATAATGGGACCTGGAAGTTCTTGTCACAAAATATAGGGTACCCTGCAATAATTTTTTCGATAATTGTTCACTTTGTCTTATCAGGCATGGGTTAATCCGACCTAACTTGGCAGGGCAGACATGCCAATGGGTGTCTTGACAACCATTGCAAGGTAGGAATATGATACGTAAGTATTGGGGTAGAGAAGGCTTCGAGTGCCTCCGAACTCCAGAAAAATAAGGTGAAGGAAGAGAAGAAGGGTGCCGGCAGTGAAGGCGGCCGGAACTCACGGGAGGGGAAGAGGGATTTTTAGGGTCTTAATATTCTTATTGATATCCTGGCCAATTGACGTACAACTCCTTTTATAATGAGGAGAAGCCAAAAATCCTTTAACCCTAATTACTACGTTTTTTACCCTGGCGGTTCAAAGAAAAGCGAGGACCGCAAAGAAACCCTCGAAAGAGCTTATAATTACGCTCACCTAACAAAATCTAAAGTACAATAATAATTATTAAAGCGTAAAAATGCTAAATTAAATAATCCTTTTGCCATGCGGGAAGATGCCCAACCCTCGAACTCTTGCGCACGTCGGATACTACGTCCGTCTCCCCAGTCTCCACGTCCCAACCCATATCAGTCTCAACGTTAGACCCCAAATCACCATGGCCAACTCCTCGTCCGCGGTCCACATCATTCATAATATTCCCCACCGGATCAACTAGCACCTTGTCCTCAAGGTGCAAATCTGGAAAGTGCTGGCGTAGATTCTCGATGGGCTCCCAGGTGGCATGCTCCATTTCACCGTCGGACCACTCCACTAGCGCTTGCCGCACGGCTTGACCCGCGACCAAGGTGGTACGTTGCCCATACACCCTCACGGGATGGGCCGGTGGGTGGCCGTCGACGAAGTCACTTGGGAATGGCAGTGGCTGGACACTTGTTGAATCTCCCGGAATGGTTGGAGTAATGAAACGTGAAAAACCGGGTGAACACGCGAGTCCGCCGGGAGCTGCAGACGGTAGGCCACTGACCCCATTCGCTCAATAACCTGAAAAGGGTCATAAAATCGTCGTGATAGCTTTTGATTCCCCCTCGGTGCCACAGAATGTTGCCAGTACGGTTGGAGCTTCAACAGAACCCAATCACCCACCCGAAACTCAACATCCCGATGATGAGAATTAGCCGCTGTTTGCATACGCTATTGGGCCTCTTCCAAATGCTCCCTTAAACGCGTCAACAGAGCCGTGTGTTCGGAGAGGAGAACGTCGACTGCTAGGACCTCACATGTGCCGGCCGTGTAGGGGAGTATTGACGGTGGCTCTCTCCTGTAGAGTGTCTGGAACGGGGTCATTTTCAACCCGAAATGGTAGCTCATATTCAATGCAAACTCCGCCTACGAAAGTAAGATAGTCCATCACATTGGTTTGTCGCTGGCATACGCACGAAGGTACTGTTCCACACCCTGATTCATGACCTCCGTTTGTCCATCCGATTGAGGGTGGAACGCCGTGCTAATTTGTAGGTTGGTTCCGCTTAAGCAAAGAGTGTGCTGCCAGAATCGGCTCATAAAAATTTTGTCCCTCAGATACAATGCTCCTCGGAAACCCATGAAGTTTGACAACGTTGTCAATGAACAATTGTGCCACCCGCGGAGCATCAAAGTCCCCTCGCAACGCGCCCAAATGTAGATACTTGGACAAGCGATCAACCATGACCAAGATGACTGAGTAGCCACGCACCATCGGGAGGCCGGTGATGAAATCCATAGAAATATCATCCCATACCTTGAGCGGAATAGGAAGGGGCTGTAGAAGCCCAGCCGGCAGTTGGGTCGAGTACTTCGTAACTTGACAGATAGTGCATGCCTCGATATATCGTTGGACGTCCCGTCGCATGCTGGGCTAATGGAACTGCATGGCTATGCGGTAAAATGTGCGTTGTATGCCCGGATGTCCCGCCAATTGAGAGTCATGGTATTCACGAAGTAGTTGTGCCCGTAGTGGGGAGTCTCGGCCTATACAGAGGCGGCGGCGATAGAGTAGCATACCGTCCGCAATGGAGTAATCAGATGGAAGCTTACCGTCAGTGGCTGCCGCATGAAGCCCCTTGAGGTCCGGTTGTGACTGATTTTCTGTGCGAATGGCCTCCATAAGGGCAGGGACTGGCTGGCCGAGACAGGTGCATGAATGTGGCGATTACACCCTCGCCGTGTTCGCAGCGTGATAGTGCGTCGGCCACACGATTGGACGCACCGGGTTTATACTCGATTCAAAATCAAAATCCCATGAGTATGGGGACGTAATATTGCTGATCCAGAGTCTGGACCACCTGATGAAGTAATTCGCGGAGACTGCGTTGATCTGTGTGAATGAGGAATTCACGGCCCAACAAGTACTGCCTCCATTTCTGAACCGCTTCGACAATAGCCAATAGCTCTTTATGATATGTGGACGCTGATAGCCACCGCGGTCCTAGCTTTTTAGTGAAATAAGCAATCGGTTGGTCGCGCTGCAATAGGACCGCCCCGATGCCGGTTGCACATGCATACCTATGACAAACTGAATCCCAAAATTCGGAAGATAGAGTACGGGTGCTGTAGACATCGCCTCTTTCAATTTGTCAAACGCGACAGTAGCCTCCGTCGTCCATACGAAGGCGTCTTTCTTAAGTATATCCGTTAGTGGCGTGGAGATGGTGGAGTAATGCCGCACAATTCGCCGGTAATAGCCGGTTAGCCCCAAGAAGCCACAGAGGTGCTGTTGTGTGGTTGGAACTGGCCAATCCTACATGGCCTGGATTTTACTTTTATCTGCATGAAGCTCGACGGTAATGATGTGCCCTAGATACTCGATAGAATGTTGGCCGAAGGAACACTTGGAGCGCTTGATGTAGAATACATGCGTCTGTAAGGTAGTGAAAACAGTCTACAAGTGATCATGATGCAATGCCAGAGATGGACTGTAAATTAAGATGTCGTCGAAGAAGACCAGAACAAACCGGCGTAAAAATGGGGCGAGAAGGTGGTTCAGGCAAGCTTGAAAAGTGGAGGGGGCTGTCGTAAGGCCGAACGGCATCATCAAAAACTCATAATGCCCTTCGTGTGTCCGAAACGCCATCTTGTACACGTCCTTTTCAGCCATACGAATCTGGTGTTAACCCGAACGCAGGTGCAGTTTAGTAAAATAGGAGGCATTACCCAGCTCATCAAATAATTCATCCGCCGTAGGCATGGGAAACTGATCGGGGACCATGATAGCGTTCAGGGCTCGATAGTCGATGCAAAAGCGGAACGTGCCGTCCTTCTTTTTGACCAAAAGGACCGGGGACGAGAATGGACTCCGACTTGGGCATATCAACCCCTGATCTAACATCTCTTAGACCATACGTTCGATCTCCCCTTTTTGAAAATGAGGGTACCGGTATGGCCTTACATTCACCGGCCGGCTCCTCGGTTGCAAAAATATCATGTGGTCAGCAAGTCGATGGAGTGGCGACCCGTCGGCAACTCAAACAACCCTGCAAAAGTGGTGAGCAATTCGGAAATGGCGGCAGGGATAACTGGGCACCCTGGGCAGTGTCTGGCGAGGTGGGAGGATCGTCCTTCGGCAGCGCAAATAGTTCATAGCAGGCGACCAGGGAGTTTGAAGACTGGAGAGCTTTAAACATAGCAAAAGAGACCGGTTTTGGAGTGGTATCGCCCCGTAGGTAGATCAGCTGGCCTTCCCAAATGAAATCCAGCGTTAATTGAGTGTAATCCTGTGTAATTTTACCGAGCTGCTGCAACCATTGAACTCCCAACACAATGTCTTGCCCATGAATCTACAAAACAAATAGATCGACAGAAAAAATGTGATTTTGCATGAGAAGAGGCACTCCTGTACACTGAGATGCACACGACATAGCATCACCGTTGCCAACATACACCCGAAACGGTGCAACGGCCGTCAAGGGTAACTGTAGACAGCCCACGATCTTCGGATGAATAAAGTTGTGGGTACTCCCACTGTCAATGAGCACGCGTACATCTTGGCACCCAACCCGCCCTACCACTCGCAAGAACCTCAGTGGTTGGATGCTAGAGAAATTATTCAAACTAGAAATGTCGTCCGTGACCAATAATTCCTCCTCGGTGTCTGGTGCGGTGGCTTCGTCGTCGTCATCGTCGCCACAGAGGATTAAAAAGCGGCCGGACTTATGATTGCAGGACCATTTTTTTATGACAATTGTAACAAAGTTCTTTGGCATCTTTAGCTTCCTTTTCCGCCGACGTTAAGCGTTTGATAGGCCCTGGTGCGTGAGGGAGGGGCTTTGGCGGGGTGGGTAGCAATGGTGCTGTAATCGCCGGCTTTAACCCCTGGGGTGCGCCACGCGGGGACGGGGAGAAGGGACTGGCAAAACGTTGATGGATAGAGTGAACCAAGGCCGAGTGTTTGGCTTCTAATTCCTTGGCCATAGCAAAAGACTCCGAAAGATTGACGGGTTTTAATATGATGATTTCCTTTTGGAGATGATGTTTCAAGCCGGCGCGGGAGCGTGAAACAATGATATGAGAATGTCCTCGTGGGCGCGGGAGACGTGTTGAAGCACTTTTTCAAATTCATCTTGGTATTCCATCATGCTTCCTCGCTGTCGTAGCTTCGCCAATTGCCCAAAGTAGTCCACATATTGATTCGGATCAAAGCATTGTTTAAACTTCTCCACAAAGTCGTTCCAACCATTCAACAAATTATTCTTCTTGCCCCACCGAAACCAATCGGCGGCAGCCCCTTCAAGCATCAAGGTAACACAACGCAAACGCTCGTCGGGGGGGAGTATCATAAAAGGAAAAGTATTCTGTTACCTTGTAAAGCCAACGAAGAGGGTCTGAGCCGTCGCATTTGGGTGGCTCGAGCTTAGGTTTTGGGATATACGACGTGCTGCCGCGTTCGTACCCATCCTCAAAACCCTGGCCACGGTTACGTGCATGGGGCGGTCCCCCTTTGTAGGGCAAGAGCAGAGCCTCCACCCGAGCATATTGGCTGTCCAGTTTGAAAGCGTGGAGGGCCAGCTGTGTTTCAAACTCGTCCTGCAGTTGCTTGGTGGTGTCGTGGATGGCATCACGTAGTTCCTTGAAGCGGGCATCAATGGCCGCCAAGTGTTGCATGAGGGGATTAGCTTCCAAAGTCATGTCGTCAATGAAAGCACCAATGTTACGTAAGTATCGGGGTAGGGAAGGCTTCGAGTGCCTCCGAACTCCAGAAAATAAGGTGAAGGAAGAGAAGAAGGGTTCTGGCAGTGAAGGCGGCCGAAGTCACGGGAGGGGAAGAGGGATTTTTAGGGTTTTAGTATTCTTATTGATATCCTGGCCAATTGACGTACAACTCCTTTTATAATGAGGAGAAGCCAAAAACCCTTTAACCCTAATTACTACGTTTTCTACCCTGGTGGTTCAAAGAAAAGCAAGGAGGTAAAGAACCGCAAAGAAACCCTCCAAGGAGCATGTAATTACGCTCACCGAACAAAAATCTAAAGTACAATAATAATTATTAAAGCGTCCCGGGAAGACGCCTAACCCTCGAACTCTTGCGCACGTTGAATACTACGTCCGTCTCCTCAGTCTCCACGTCTCGACCCATATCGGTCTCAACGTTAGACCCCAAATCACCATGGCCCAACTCCTCGTCCGCCCCCTCGAGCTCCTCATAACCCTATTGGCGCAGGGAGTCCGGCTGTTACGTGAAAAGGAGAGAACTAGGAGAAATAATTACTAAACTAGGTTGTATTATTTGCTTCCCCTTCTAAAACATGAAGCCTTCTCTATATATAGAGGAGAGAAAACCCTAATCCTAATCCTGTCGGTTCAAAAAAAGCGTCAAGGGAAAGAACCGAAAAGAAAACCCTTGAAGGAGCTTATAACCCACTCTCCTAAGAAAATCTAGATTACAAAAAATAAAGGAAACATAATAATTAAATACTAAACATAATCGTCGTAACGTTTTGGTCGTCGCGCCTGTCTTCGTGGACGCCCAAGCAGCCTTGAATCCTCTCGATCTTCATCTGTTGGCTCATCCCCACGTAGTGGGTCGTCACACACTGCATGGGCCTCGTTTGTTGGGCTGTCTTCCACATGGGCCGTATCAAGTGTGTCCTCGCCCCGTACTACGACCGTATCACATACTTCCTCCCTTGTCTCAAAATGGACATCATTGTTCTTATTAACGCTAGCTCTTTATAATTTTTGTTGTTTATATGTTTTCATTTTATTTCTATACTAATAATGTGTAATAAAAATGATTTTAACAGTGATGAACTTTTGTAGATTGTTCGAAGAGTGACATTCATTATGGGACGGATGGAGTATTTTATTTGGTCACATTCGTGTGGTTTACATTGATTCTTTTTTTATCTTACTATTTTATACAAAGTTTTAAATCCTTGTAAATATTTTGGGACGGAGGAAGTATGTAAATATATATATATATATATATATATATATATATATATATATATATATATATATTCTTTTTTTTACTATAATTTGTTCGTATTTGCCATCATCTACATACCCTCTTCTTTATAAATATACGCCTACATCAATTCTAAAAATTGAATACTTTTGATGTTCCAAGTGGAAATATGTTTTCGGGAAGCTTTCAAAAGAAATGTTTTGGGGATCGTTTAGGCATAGTTTATTCAAGTATTATCGTATCTTCTAAAGTTTAAAGGTCTATTAGTGAGAAATTTTAATTTTTTTTATTCTTTTATTATTAACATTAATAAAGAAAAAATAACAGTATAAAAGAATTTGACGGAGGGATGGACGGGAGGTCCCCTGGAGTTAGCTTTCACATATTTTTAAAAATGGTAGGACTAGAGTTTTTATCACTAAACTGAGGGTACCTGATAGGTGTATTTCACCCATGACCGGTCAAAGGTCAGAACCAGATAGTTGACCGGTCAAAGAGTTCGAACTTGGAAGAGAGATGAATCATCACTGGAAGGATAGAGGGTTGACCCAAAAAGTTGACCGGTATATTTCGGATAGTATATCGGTCAAACCATGCCAGCGTCTAATTCATCCTTTGGGGTTAGCGAATCCAACCTCCAAGAACCAACCGGTGCAGTTTTTAATGATTGGAAAGTGTCGGCAGGAAGAGTCCAAAAGGACTTGGACTGTAGTGGTTGGCATCACTGGGGACTCAGTGGAGATGCTGAAGGAATATTTCCAAGCCAGAACGCGACAAGGGAAGTAATCCCCCTCACAAGGCGACAGGACAGCTCAAGGACGAAACCAGTCACCTCGCACCACATCAACAGCGTGCCCCCACGTGGGCGCACATGGTCTTATCCCCCTTAGCCCAGTATAAATACTCATGTAAACTTCAGAAAGAGGGGCCGAATTCATTCTCTCCTAACTCCCTTGTAAAAGCACTCGTGCATTCTCCGTTATAATATACATTGGGCTACAGGTGTTCCACCTAAAGTCCTACCGGTCAATCTGCGTGTTTTTACCTTTATTACTTTACCAAATCAAGCAAACTATTCTAGACCCGGTCTAGTAAAGTTTGACCGGTCAAGTAATTTACACCATCAGTACCCATCAACAATTTTTTGAGCCGGATAGGACAAACTCTGTTGTCCCTACTAAAGAAATGGGATGCCCCCATAACCTTTCTCAATCCCTACTTGCATAATAGAAAAAGGGTCAAAACATTTTAAATCATTAATTAAAAAGTACACTTCAGTACTCATTTTAGGTATAATTTCTAAATTTAAAAATATTTAGTTAGTTTTAAATTATGTGTAGTACGTAGTAATTCATAATATTGAGATGAAATTCAACACTATTTTTACCATTTTACATTGTCTTTCATTAAAAATTGGAAGTGCTGCTCCTGGATTCCGCTTTATTCTTGCCCTCGATCTTCCTATTTTCTAGATTTGCCAATGCGGTATAGTCCACTCACATCCCCCCAGTGAAACCCTTAGACGGGAGCATGACATTGTCCAATTCAGCTAGTCTTGATACTTGAAATGCACCTCCTTTGAAGCTTTGCTGGACCAGTGATGATCTTAACTTTCCGTTTAGTTATATTTGCCCATTTATATCAAATGGATAAATTTTACCCTTACATATTTAAAAAATAAAGTGAAAGAATGAAAAACGCAAAGCTGTTAAAATCTTATAAATGAAATTGATATAGTAAACGTCGGGGTTCTAGTGACACCCACTTTGGGTGACATTAGTGATGCCACTGTCATTTTAAAACACTTCTGAAACCTCGTTTATAAAATTGACGATTCATACCTCCTAAACCCCTCACCCCAACCCTGCTGTAAGCAACCCACAAAATAGGAGTATTATATTTTTAAATACTGTGAATAATTAAATAAAAAATTTTAAAAAGCGGGGAGAGAGTTATAATTTTCACTTTAGGAGTACAATCATAGTACTTTCACGTGACGCTTGCTACCGGCTACTCGCGCTTCCGGTAAAAGATTCAAATTAAAGCCCCCCCCCCTCTCTCTCTATCTCGCTCTGTGTGTCAGTCCACACTGTTCCCACTGTCACTCAGCATCAGTCAAGCACTTGAAATTACTTCCATCTCTGGCTGCTAAAACCAGAGCACCCTATGCCCTCCAGCAATCTTCCCCAGGTAAAGAAAACCCCCTCAAACTTCCCATTTTCAAACCCATTCTCCACTTTCTTGAGAAAAGGCCATCCATGGATTCCCTATCCAAAACCTTCTTTCTGTTCTTCTTCTTCCTCTTGCTTCTGTCAGCACTTCTCCTCACATACCCATCCCCATGTCTCTCCCAACCCACAACTGGGATCTCTCTTCTGATGGCCATCAAAGCTTCTCTAGATCCACAGAACCTCATCCTCAGTTCTTGGTCACCCAATGCCACTGACCCATGCAAAGACTTCACCTTTGAGGGCATTGCTTGCAATGGGCTTGGCCAAGTGGTCAACATCTCCCTGCAGGGTAAAGGGCTTTATGGTAAAATACCACCTGAGATTGGGCATATCAAGACTTTGTCTGGTCTGTACCTCCACTTCAACCATCTTCATGGGAGTGTGCCTAGGGAGATTGCTAATTTGACTCAGCTCTCTGATTTGTACCTCAGTTTTAATCACCTCTCTGGTTCCATTCCTTCTGAGATTGGTAACATGTCCAGTCTTCAAGGTTGGTTTCCAACTCTTTTCATCTTTTGATTCTTGACACTTTTTATAGCTTAAAGGTGTAATCTTTTATCATGTTTTGTTTAAATGAAGAAAAAAAAGAAATGAATTCTTGTAGCTAGATGCCCAGATCTGTGGCTGAATTGCAGAAATTTTGAGTTTCTGGTAAATGTATTGCCTTGTGTTTACAATTATGAGATAATCTTCGGACCTCAGTCACTAAGGGCCTGTTTGGGAACAAAGTTTCCAATATGGCTGAAAAAATTAAGTAAAAAAATGAAGCTTTGAACGCACTAAAATGGATAATACTGTTTGAAGGAAAAAAGTTGTTTTTTTCTTTTCGCAAACTGCTTTTATTTTATTTTTCAGTAAAGGCAAAAAGGGATTTTAACACAGCAGCTTTTGTATGCTCTTTTTTATTATCTTTTCTAGTTAAAGAAATTAAATGGGAATTCTGCTTTGATTCTGTATGCAGTTTTGCAACTCTGTTACAACAAGTTAAATGGGAACATACCAACTCAGCTTGGATCTCTCAAGAATCTCACAGTTCTTGCCCTGCAATCTAACAGCTTGACTGGAGCAATTCCTGCAAGCTTGGGAGACTTGACACTGTTAAGAAGGCTGGACTTGAGCTTTAATTACCTCTTTGGTTCAATCCCAACTAAACTTGCCAATGCTCCAATGCTTGAAGTTCTTGATGTTAGAAATAATACCCTTTCTGGCAATATCCCTCTAGGTAACTATTTGAGCCTGTGCGATTTTTTTTGGAATTGTTAAATAGTTGTGCTTATAGTACAGGTGCCTAGGCTTCTGTAAAGAAAATTTTACCTGAGTGTATTTTTGTTTGTTTTTATTTGTTTTTTGAATAATGGGAATTGGTTGAATGCAGAGCTAAAGAGACTGAATGAAGGATTCCAGTACACAAACAACTTGGGTTTATGTGGAATAGGTTTTTCTTCCTTAAAACCATGCTCCTATCCTGCATTCAACTCCAACAAGCCCGAACCCGTTGGGCCAGGTTCTTATGACCTTCCAACCAAAGTCATCCCAGAATCAGCCAATGTCCAACCACACGTTTCGGGCGCACCAAGAAAAGCCCGATCTGCCACTGTAGCTGGCGTAGCCGGATTAACTGCCACTTTGCTGGCATTCGGACTCTTCACATATCTAAGACACCGTCGTCAGAAGCAGAGAATTGGAAGCACTGCAGAAAATACTGAAAGTCGACTCAGTACTGATCGCCAACCCAAGGAATTCTCAAGAATAACTGCATCTCCTCTTATAAATGTGGAGTACTCAAATGGATGGGACCCTCTTGGGAAGGGGCAAAATGGGAATGGGTTTTTCAGTGAGGAAGTTCTTGAGAGCTTCATGTTCAATCTGGATGAAGTGGAGTCTGCTACACAGCACTTCTCGGAGACGAATCTGTTGGGAAAGAGCAGTTTTTCTGCCATTTACAAAGGGTCTCTGAGAGATGGTTCTGCTGTTGCTGTCAAGTGCATTTCCAGGAGTAGTTGTAAGTCAGACGAAGCCAAGTTTCGGAAAGGGTTGAAGCTGTTGATCTCTTTGAAGCATGAAAACCTGTTGAGGTTGAGAGGGTTTTGCTGTTCCAAGGACAGGGGAGAGTGCTTCCTGATTTACAACTTTCTCTCCAATGGATGCTTGTTGCAGTACCTTGATGTGAAGAACAGTGAAGGGAAACATCTGGACTGGCCCACCAGAGTCTCCATAATCAAAGGCATTGCAAGAGGTTAGAGTGCTTCTTGTACATCATTTCAAAACCAATTGGCAATGGAGAAAAGTAACTCAAATTCTTATATACTCCATTAGTCTTTTTTAGCCTGAGTGTTTTTTAATGTGAAATTTTTAAGAAATGTTCATCTTCACCTCAGTTTATGTCTGGTTTTTCCCCTAATAATCTGAATGAATGCTCAACAGGTATTGAATACTTACATGGAAACAAGGGAAGGAAAGCAAGTCTTGTTCACAGAAACATATCAGCCGAAAAGGTACTTATCGACGATCTTTACAACCCACTCCTCTCTGACTCAGGTCTGCACAAACTTCTAGCAGAAGACACCGTCTTCTCAACCCTAAAGGGAAGTGCAGCAATGGGGTGTCTAGCACCAGAGTACACAACTACTGGCCGCTTCACGGAGAAGAGCGACATATATGCATTTGGTGTGATCATATTTCAGATCCTCTCTGGGAAACTCATGGTCACCCATTCTAATCATCAAGGAGCAGAATTGTGCAAATACGAAGCTTTTGTGGATCCGAAACTGGGAAGAGACTTTGCGGAGCCTGAGGCTGCTATATTAGGAAAGATGGCTCTACTTTGCACACATGAATCTCCTAGCCAGAGACCGACCATTGAAATGCTGATTCAAGAACTGGATGGTATTTGTTAGATATAAATTCTTTCATGGGCACACAATCTCAAACTTGAGTTTGTGGTTGTGTTGGTTGCCATTGTATTTGACAATGTTGTAGGGTCTTGATGTCAATGTAGTTTCCTTGTACTTGTGTTGTAGAAAACCCATGGCTTGAAACATGTTAATGTAGTGTAGGGTTGAGACTAGCTTGGGGTGAAATGCAATTCTTGTTGCTTTCAAAATAAAGAACTGCAAAGTTTGGGTTTATTCCTTAAGCACACACCACATGACAAGTTAAATCTACAGAAGAGGGAAAAATGAAGAAGCCAAATATGACAGTTATAATGCTGTGATACACATGCATACAAACATGGCAACAAAAATACAAAGAAATTGAAGTTGGAAAACATATCATCAAAACAATTCAATGACTATAGAAACACAACAAACCCGATAGAATTCTACAGGAGGAGTAGACTCTGGAGAGGGCGTGTGCACGCAAACCAACATCAGACCATTAATGTTAATCATTCGATGTTAATCCTTATAACCTTTTTTGGTCTCCCTCCGGATGGGTGTGCCGTGACATCAAGATCAGGCCTTGGACCTCCCAGGCCATCTCTAAAAGGTGAGTCGCATTTGGTCAAAAAGCTGCTGATTGGAGCCCCTCTATTGTTATTGGCATCATACTTCAATGCCCTTTGTGGGTGGAAGTCCAGCCCATCATTCCACCGTGGCATACGCATACTGGTGTTACCCTTCCAGTCTTGCTCAAAACCAACCAAATCATCTGTGTTCCAAAAACATTACTTCTTCATTCAGAGTGTAAAAGATAGGAGAATACATCCACATAACGAATGCAAGAAAGAAAAATGATGCCCCCTCTGTTCGATTATTTTTAGAACATGAAGATTGTATGGAATTATGGATGATATTGATATTAAAAAGTATGATAAAATAAGGATTTTTATATGAACCACGACCAAATATGTGGTATGCAACACAAATAGTGGTACGAAAAAAAGATATAAAGAGTAAAATTTGTGGGACTGAGGGAGTACCTTTTTCCAAATTGTGCAACGTCTCCATCGCATCCACCTTTCCATCGGACTTAAGCTTCCTTGTAACTGTGTGTCCCTACGGGAGTGATACCAATCACTTTGATCAATAACACTAGTAAATATTTTACTATCACAGTACAAAATAGGCTCAAGTGCGAGAGTTTCCATTTCAATATATCAATGACACCTGATTACCTAAGCAAAAGTTGACCAGAAATGCACAAGGAGAAAGTAGTTGAAGTACATAAAAGAATCCCAACAATGGGCTTCACCAGTAAACTTGGGAGTCAGAGATTACATCCACTAAATACCACACTAATAGAAGGAAAAATTGCATTTCTATTCCTCCTATTGTAACACATTAGTTGATTTTGGTCAGGTGTGTCACATTCTTTATATTTTAACAGCGAGAAAGATGCACATTTGTTTGTCCAGACTTCTGTATTTGAGCCGCGGGTCTCTTGAAAACAACATTTCTATTATTTGAGTGGGGGTAAGGTTTGCTTGCGTACACACACCATCACTAAACCATACTTCTTTGTGAGATCTTACTGGTTCGTTGTTGTTTGAGGACACACATTAATGTGATTAATTCCAACTAATGACACATCTTAGATCTAATCATTTTGAGACACAAATGTTCATGGGAAAAAATGGCCAAAGATATACCTTATCATGTATTCCTCTGGAGATTCTGTGAGTTGCTTCACCAGTTGTTGTATCCGCATGTCTGGTTTCCTTCCACACCCTCTGGTTTTCCATTTTTAACAAGGTCAAGTGAAACACACAGTTCAAGTGAGTACAACAATAAAAACATGCACTAATATAATAACGTGTACGCCGGAAAAGAAGTTCCCCAAAAGTAACAGTTAATTCTTACTCCATCACTTCCTGTCAGGCGGCTTGTTGAAGCAGTTAAATAGGCCCCGTTTATGCCGCCATATGTTACTCTTGTGTAGCTCACACTTCGAGTTCCTTCAATGTTCCCAAAAGATGAATTTTTCCTCATGCTATTGGCCTTGTTATGTTCTATCAAATTAAAAGAAGAAAAGACTAATAATTCACAATGGCAATAGAACATATATATATGGAGTATAACATCTTGCTTAATACTTCCTCCGTTTCAAAAAAATGTTCTAATTTTCCCTTTTGGAGTGTTACGAATTAGTGTTTGTATTCTCCTTTTTGGAAAAACCTCACTAAATAAAATATTCGTTAGGTCCGAACAACTCGAGAGAATGTAAGGAGCAAGAGGAAGAAACAAAAAGAAGGATATTCATGATAAAGCCCAGTGGGTAAACTCCACGGCGGAAGCCGGTATAACTATATATTAATGATTCAGAGTATGTTAGAGAGAGTATACGCTATAAAAGTAGTTACACGGAGAATATAAAAGGTACAACTAGACCTGTCAAAAAATAACCCGGCCTATTTTTGACCCGAAACCTGACCTGAAAACACTGGTTTTGATGACCGAACCCGAAATGACCCGCTAAAAATGGGTCAAACCTGACCTAACCCGAACCCGACCTAGAGTTTTTCAAAATCATACACTTTACTACTTATTTTTAGTGTATAAATTTATATTTTCAAACAAAATTTTAATGATATTGCATAATTATCTTATTTTTTTGTAAAACATAAGCATTTTTTAAATTCCTTATATTGATTTAAATATCTAAAAATTACTTCAGAATTTAAAATAAAATAAGAAATATTTGCACTAAATAGAACTAAAACTTAAGTCATTTTTCTAAATAGCACTTAAACTGTTTTATTCCCTAAATAGCACTTAATAATGTCCATAATGTCCAGTGATGGTGAATATTTACTTGAATAATGACTAAAAGTGCTACATTGGGAAGAAAAATACATGTGATGCTATTTAGGGAAAGTCATTATGTTTTAGTGATATTTAAGTAAATTCCTCATAAAATAATCTAATAGATTTAATAAATATTTTTTGATATTTTAAATTTATTTAATAAAAAATGTAAGTGTTAATGTGAATTTAAAAATTTTAAAAATCAAAGCCATAACCCGTTGGGTTGACCTGAACCCAATGACACTGGGTCATGAACATACAGTTCTCAACCCGAACCCGAAATCACCCGAACTTAAAGTGACCGAACCCGAACTGGCCGACCGATGTGCCAGCTCTAGGTACAACCTAAACAAAGTATATATGAGGTGGGAGTGTTGAATCTTAAGTTCCTAACAAATATTTTATACATTAAACCAAATATATATAATCAGGCTCCACAACCTAACAATATTATCTTCCCCTTATTTCATTTCTCTCTTCTCTATATGCCAAACAACATCACCGCTTTTAAAACTTCTCTTTGCTTTTTTACACTTTCTTTAAATTTTTCATTAACTTTTTTACGCTCTCTTCTCTATATCCCATATTCCCATCAACCATTACGGCCGTTATACTATAATGGAAATACTTGCCTCAACGAATGGAGTTGAACATAAAGATATGTACTCGACTACTCGTATCTTTTATTGAGACAAAATGAGTTTCACATAGTTCACCAATATGAACGGAAACATATGTATATGCTTCACTACGTGGAAATTGTCTCAATAACCTAGATACATATGCTTGAGATTTGTTTCACCAAGGTTCAACTCATTTCAAGTACTTCATAAAATGAACCCGAGTTAGCTAGTCTTCCGTTCTCAAATACATAGGGAAAAGATGTGTATAGTCATGTGATACGCAATGAGTGTAATGAAATTCGGGAGTGCAAAAACAAGCAAATGACCATGAATTACCATCAGCTTGATCCTCCTGATGCTCAACAAGTGGGTTTCTGTTGGTCCAATCATCGGATCGACTTCTCCGATGTCTGTTATCTCCACACTTTTCTTCTTCATCCTCCTCCTCATCATCATCATCATTGGTGTCCAGTTCCTCAATGACCGGTCCAGTGGGCTTGCTAGCTCTTGGTAAATCATCAGGACGGGTCTCTTTTGGAACGGGCCTTTTAGATCCAAAAAAGCTACCAAACGAGCCAGATCTTCCGAAAATG